TTGTGTGTGTGTGTGTGTGTGTGTGTGTGTGTGTGTGTGTGTGCGTGTGTGTGTGTGTGTGTGTTTGTATGTGTGTGTGTTTTTACGTGTGCGTATAGAAACATTTCCTTTTAAAGCAAACGCCCTCCCCCTGAGACAAAAAAAAAACACACTCATAAGTGGAGTATGGAGGACTCTTGGTCAGAATTAAACGAAAAATGTGAACTTTTCATTTGGCTTATAAAAAAGGATTACAAATTACAGTCATCACATTGTCACTGTCACTTCTAAAATGAAAACATCACTTTCACTTTACGCGCACTCTCACTTTGTCCCCAAGTTGAAATACGTACATTGTTGCCAATTTACTTGTATTTATTTTATTCAATCCTGTTTTGGACGATACTTTACGCATTTGGTTACTCCATTATTGGTTATAAACTATATTGGAAGTTTTACTCGCTTAACAACTCTACAATGTTGCCTGCAAGAGAGTTGTTGGGCCAACACATGCTGAATGGGATTTACATCTTAACAGAAAGACAGATAATAAATATTGTATACTTTATTGAATAGACTGGCATAGACTGGAATTGAACTATCGTCATTTGTGAGCAATAGCAAAGACATAATTATAATATAATGCTTAACCTTTACACCAAGACATACTCTGATCACAGTTCTCTGTATAAAGTGAGGAACAAAAGTAGACAACTGCTCTGGACAAACGGCCATGATGATGGACTTTGAAACAAACATTTTAACCAATAGAAAAGAAGGTCGTAGACAGCACACTACAGGACTGGAAATAATATCGGCAGTGACATGAAGAGTTTCACAGGATCACTATATTTTCCTTGAAGTTTACACCTATTATAAAATAATTATAAACATGGAAAGCACAATCCGTTCATGCCCACATTATTATAACATATTCGCAGGCATGCTTACACTCGTGCAAGAACATTGATTTCGCTAAACAGTCAACTGCTTAGATAAATAGGTCTGCAAAATACGTAGGCTGTACAAGTTTTGCTATTATGTGTCCTGCAAGGACCTGGGAACAAACTATAACCTCTTTGGTCCTGCCAGTTTACTTATCACCATGACAAGAGCACTGGTTAATACGAGAGTAAGAGTTAATTTGTTAAATGTATTGGCTAGTAGTGTATGGTATCCAAAACAGAAACAATATATCATGTCAATGACAATCATTTGAATATTCACCACAATTATAATACAAGTACCAAGATTGTTGTTTGTAAAAGTGTTTGAACGAGTACTTGACAGGTTCGTCATCAAAGAATTAAGACATCTCATCCCTGTCACGACGACTCACTGCCGCCTCATCACGTAGTACTGGAAAATGCTTGATTTGTCCACCGCCACGCCCACACACCGCTCAATGGAGAATCCGTCTATCATCTTGAAATTGGATGATGTCAGCAACACAGGGGTGTGGCCAAACGTGATCGACACGCCCCCTGGAGCGACTGCCGAGAGTACTGCTGAGAGGAGCGCTTCCGCTGCTGCGGAGGTCACAACCTCAGAGTTGAGGAACCGGTTGTACATCACGTCAGCACTGCCAACTTGGATAAGAGGTTTCATAGCGTTCCCACAATGTACCTGGTCAACTCTTGCCTTCGCCACGTCGCACATCTGTTGGCTCAGGTCTTGCCCGATGGTTGTGCACGCCGGGAAGGCTTGTTTGAGGCTATGCAGGAAAACACCGGTCGAACAAGCTGTATCGTAAAGACGGGAAGAAGTCTTCCCGAGGCGTTTGAGCGTTTCTACGCTATACTCCCGAATGTGCACTTCTCCGTGGCTGAGAGTGTGGTCGAAGTTCGGGTCCACGTCCCAGCCCGCTTCTGGTGAGGTGAACTCCTTCCGGGAGTCGGATTTTAGGAGCGGAAACGGAAACACGAGTTCGGTGCCTTTTGCGTCCACTTGAACAATTTGCTCAAACAGGCTCAGCTTTTCTCCAGGGGTGAAAGGGTTGAAAAAGACCGTGGTTTTAGATTCAGTGACTCTGAAGTCTGACATCAAACCCAGCAGCATGTCCGCTCTAATCTGACTACAAAACAGTTCAGGAATCTTATCTGCTAACCACAGGTTTGACAACGTTTTCCTACCCGCGATCTGCAAACGTCCTTGACCTTGCCATTTGTCCAAAGTCAGGATGAAAATCCCCTGAGGCAAAGCGTTGTGGTCTTCGTCTAGTCGTTCGGGTTGTCTGCCTCTCACAGCCTCCCAGTCCGGTGATTGCTTCTCCACACCTTGAGGTATCTTGCACATTTTGTATCTGTTCCACTCTGACATGATCAAAGTGACCACAGTGGAATCCTCGGGCTTTTTACATTGCCTGAGGGCCTCCGCCAACTCTTCCTCCCCCTTCGCCCACTGCTCATCTGCAAAACATTTTCTAGCCCTTAGGAAAGGTTTCTGTACCTCTTCCGCATACACGAACTTGAAAATTCCGTCATAACTTTGAATGACTGAACTGACACAACTGCTCGTCATTTTGCTTAAATCAATGCTGATCCTTTGACACTAGCACTGACATAAAGAAATGAAAACAAAATGTCACGCACTTTGTACCAGATTGCAGTCTTGCACAGTTTAGTAGGAGAAACACGCTTTCTATCGCAACCGACTTTCAGAAGCTAAGCAGGGTCAAACCTTTTTCTTTTATTCCTTAGAAATAAAACGAATACACCACGAGTCAAGTGAGGCCCAGACAAGTGCCTTAAACTACGGACACAATCAAACCAAAGCTAGACAGATTCCGTTTAACAAATCTGCTCTGTTCGCTTTATCCTTGCATGCATGGGGAAGAGAAACTAACACGTTTATATAATATATACATTTACGCCCTGCCTGGTATGACTCTTTTTCGCGGAAGAAAATTGCCCAAATGCTATAGGCACGCCAAGGAATAACCTGAACAGCTCCGCGCTGAGCGTAGACCAAGTTTTCCTGAGAAAATACCTAGCCTGTGGCTCGTGAATAATGCGTTACAGACGAATTCTACTCCATGACCGATGAGTCCAAGTCTTCGCGAAGCATGTGCCGAATTCCGGGAGTTCTTATATAACGTTAGCCTGAGTTTGTTATCAGCACTGGGAGCTTGGACAGTCCCAGTGTTACTGGAATGTGGAAGTACTCGAGTACATAGAAAACCCTCACTCGAGAAAAAAATTCTAACATCGAAGTTTTCCGAATATTCGAATAAAATTACGAACCCGTCACTGTGATTTCCTTGCTATTTCCTTGAGACCCACAATTAATGTGGAAACTGTAACACCGCAGCTGCACTGCTCATAGTGAGCTTTTTCCAGGGCTGCACGAGTGTGTGTGTGTGGGGGGGGGGGGGGGGTATGTGTACAAAAAAAGAACAGAATGATGGCATGCTAGCAAGTAAGCTCTACCTGTCAGCTCGTCTGCTCCCTTTTGTTGTTGGTTAACAATACGGTACCTTATGAGGGACACGGAATGATAGAATCAATACTCGTGCGACTGTTTTATTGTCAAGGAAGTTAATTAGTTAATCATAAAAGCTAACACCTGTGCTCGTCCAATTTCAGAAAGACAGATAGAGAGAGAGAGGGGGGGAGAGAGAGAGAGAGAGAGAGAGAGAGAGAGAGAGAGAGAGAGAAGGGGGGAGAGAGAGGGGGGGCAGACAGACAGACAGACAGACAGACAGGCAGACAGACAGACAGACAGACAGACAGACAGACAGACAGACAGACAGACAGAAACACAAAGAAAAGAAGGGGAAAGTGGGAGAGGGGATAAAGGAAGAGGGAGCGGCAGTGAGTTAAAAAGTCTCTCAATTCCGACAATGTCTTTTTTTCTTTCCACCCCTGAACCTCCTTCTGTTAATACACACACTGGAACTAACAGGAACATGCACACTTACTCTTACACACACACAACACACACACACACACACACACACACACACACACACACACATACACATACACACACACACACACACACACACACACACACACACACACACACAATACAACACATACAAACACACGCCTTCCCAATCTACCAAAAAGAAAAAGAAAACTCTCGAGGCAAGAATAACACACAAGACACAATATTATCGATAATGGACCACTGAAAACAACTCAACAACACAAGTGTCAAATCGGATGTCACGAGTATTTGTCTGGGAATATCGTAATTCGTGGACCCATGTTCGAATCTGATCCAGACATCAGCACATGTAATCGGACACATACACACACTTCATTTGCTCTATTCTATTAACTCTTTGAGGACGCGCACACAGGGCTTTTGACGATGCTTTGAGACTCTCTATTTTGAAGTAAAACTTCTTGATTCATGCGTATGTTGCAATTCTGTTTTCTTTACCTAAAATTTAAAAAAGCATTCAATAACATGCATACTTTGAAATATTGCAAATTCGTATTTCTGAATTGTGTATAATAATTCAAAATTACAACATCATTGTCTTTGTCTTCTGCTTTGTGGACACAATGTTTGTTACCTTAGAATTACAAAGTTGTATATATGTTCAGTACCTGGTTTCGAGAAATTTGAAGTAAAAAATCATGAGTTCCACAATATGTCAAAAAAAATTTTAAGCAATTATTTGAATATCTTGATAACGACTCTGAATAATCTTATGACTCTGATAGAGCAAACAGAACATTAATTTTGGTTTCTGACCTCATGGTCTAACTAACTCAACACGACTAAATTGTCAGGTAGAACCGCGTAATTCTAAGGTAGAGGTGCGTGTTCACTTCGTCCCTAAAGAGTTAACTAGCGTGACCCAGCACAAGACAAAATCGGGAGTTTTTCCCTAGATCAGCTGTCTGTTAGGTCTTCCTGGCTGACACGATTGTCACTGGCCAGAGTAAGCTACCAGGCCTTGAAGTGTGTATGGTACAGCGTGTATCGACCCAGTGCAGTCAAGACCACTCTGTATCAACTATCAACTATCAACTCCATTAACCCGCGACATCCTGGTGTAACCTAGGCTTTCCCGGAACACGGCATGCAAGTCGTTTTGTTTTGTTAGTGTCCTGTATAAAATCGTTACACGGTTCAACCGGTGGAACCTGGGAATTTCCTGTAAACAAGTCATTTAATAGAGTGGAGAGTGGAGAGGTTGGCCCTCGATTGCGGGACTAGGATAGTGGATAGTGTGTTTGCGGATGTTTGTGTTGTACGCAGGGTTTCAGTAGTTTTGAACTCTCTCTCTCTCTCTCTCTATCTCTATCTCTCATTTTCGCCTATATTATTATACCGCCGATTTTCTTCAGTGAATGACTTCTAATGAGTTTCAGGCTTATTTTCATTTGAGAAGGAGTAGGATAGAGAGAATTTAAACGTCGAACAAATTGCCTCTATCTTTCTCAGTTTAAAAGTAAGCAGAGCCTTTCCCTCAAAGTGTCATGAACGTCACACAGTGGTATTATTATCCTGTTTTGCCTTATGCTCAGATGTGTCTGTAGCTAGTGAAAACGTTCACATACCGGCACTGTGCGATCAAAGATCCTGTTTGCTTTGAAAACTTCTAACCCTGCAGCAATGGTATGGATAAGCGTTGCTACGTATTGCTTGACACCTCTTCTCAGACTATGGAGCACAGTATTGGCGGTAAGTATTATTGAGCTTCTTTAATGTCACTTGAGAACAGAAGAAATGAGGGGGCTCTGGTGGCCTAGAGGTTAAGGTGTTGGCCTCTCATTCAAAGGTCCCGGGTTCGATTCCGGGTAGCGACCAAAAAGTTTTCTTCTCTAAATTTGTCTCCTTTCACATCCTTTCCTGTTCTCTAACAATGTTCTGTTGTCTGCTTTCATTTCCACTTTCTGCCCCCACCCCCTCACCTCCTTTGCCCCCTCCTCTGGGCTCCTGACTCTTTCTGCAGCCTTTCTACAGCTACTCCTTGGCTCCTCCTAACTGCTTGTCTTTCTGCCACACCCCTGATCTTCTGGTAGGAAAGATCTACACCTAGCCTTCTCGGACAAGGGCGAAAAATCTCGGAGGGCCCGTGTGCAAGTTGCGCAGTTAAAGATCCCTTGGTGGTCTAAAATCGATAAGAGTAGGCTTCGGCCGCCACCCGGGCAAAATTCAAAATTTCCTACCAACGAAAAAGTATTAGGTGTGTCCCGCGCGCTCATATGACCTTATGCAGTTGCGAGCGCCGTAAAACCCTATACTAAACAAACAAACAAACAGAAGAAATGAAAAATGGGGGGGGGGGGGGGGAGGGGAGAGGAGAAACGTGGATAGAAAGGAGAAAAGGGGAAGGTGGAAGGGAATACGGAGAGCAGTTTGGGTATGTTACTCAGGATTTGTTGTTGTTCTTTTTTAGAGGGGGTGTTGTTGTTGTTGGGGTTGAGTGGGGGGGGGGGGGGGAGGGGTTGGGGAAGCGCATCGACACAATAACGACCATTTATATTGAGTAGGTGTTTTACGGCACTATCGACTAACGACCTTTTCGTGCAGCGACAGAAACGACAGATCGGAAGAAGCGAAGTAGAACCTGCTCGTTTAGTAAAATCACTAATGCATGATTGCATTAAATTGTTTTAATCCTTTACACCCTCGTCAACACAACTTATGCAATTTCGGAGGCGGGGTTATTCTGCTCTGACTGCCCAAGATAACCCAGAGCTGAGAGGGAAACAGTATTCAGGCGGACGATGGAGATGCTTGTAAGAAAAGACCCCCTTGAGTGAGAATCAAATTCACGTCTTTTGCGCACAGCGGCAAAGTTCCTAAACGTTACATGAATATAAGATGTTAGCCAGGCTAAAAACCTTCAGAAGGAAAGGCATGTTGTCAATGATGTAATAGATAAACAAACATGTAAGAACAGACAGACAGACAGACAGACAGACAGGCAGGCAGGCAGACAGGCAGACAGGCAGACAGACAGACAGACAGACAGACAGACAGATAGACAGACAGACAGACAGACAGACAGACAGACAGACAGACAGACAGACAGACAGAAACGAAGGCAAACTAATAGACAAACCCTCAATTGACAAATGACATATTGCCCCATATATGGCATATTTCAAACATATTATTTATTGTATTAAAACAAAAGATATATATGCTTGTTTCATCTTCTCCAGATTTTCATCCCCAAGTACCGGATTCCTAAAGCGCCCGAACGGTTGCTGCAGTTTATCTTCGCCGACAAAAGTTTATTCATTCTTGAATATCTCACAGACGTCTATTTCCAATTTGGAGCTTTCTGGTATGGGAAGAAAATCTACATTGTGGACCCGAGAGTGAGCATGAAAATTATTAACAAACTTGACAAGGGCGCTCACGATTATTTGAGTAGTTCTCCCCTGAATACCAGTCTTATTGGCCACAAGGAGAAATCACCGAAAGTACGCCATGCCATTGCGTCTACTTTCCGGAAGTCCAACATGGAGCACAATGGTCCCGCCATGGTGGAGGTCGTGAGGAAGACGGCGGAGAAAATGAAGAAAATGAAAGTTGTCAACATCAACGATATCTCTTTAGAGGTTTGTTCTCAAAATTCCATCGAACAACACACTGAAAAAAGGATGTTACGTTGAGTTGTTGTTTGTTTGTTTGTTTGTTGTTGTTGTTGTTTTGTTGTGTTGTTTTTGTTGGGGGGGGTTTTATCAGTAGGCCT